GTACATAACATAAATTTGCATAGTTTCCTCTGTGTGGAAGCATCTTTGACTTTGTAGTGAAACTGCTGCTACTGTAGAGTCAGTTTTTATGGAAAGGGGGGGGGACTTTCCATGTGCCTGGATGCAGTTAAGAATATTTGGGGGTTTTAGGGATTTTTTTTGCAATGTTATAGTTAGATACTGAAGTTGGAGAATATTTGAGGTTGCCTGTTCTCACGTCCTCAGAGCCACTCCAGTTTCTTGTAGCCTTTGTTTTGTGGTTCAGTTGATCCCCAGTTGTGCCCTGTCACTGTAGGAGATCATAGAATCCCACACTGGTTTGGCTTGGAAGGGACCTTAAGGCCCATCCTGTTCCCCCCCCTGCCATGGGCAGGGACACCTTCCACTGTCCCAGGCTGCTCCAAGCCCCGTCCAACCTGGCCTTGGACACTTCCAGGGATGGGGCAATGACAGCTTTTCTGGGCAACCTGTGCCAGGGCCTTCTCACCCTCACAGGGAAGGATTCCTTCCCAATATCCCATCTATCCCTGCCCTCTGGCAGTGGGAAGCCATCCCCCGCTGTCCTGTCACTCCAGGCCCGTGTCCAAAGTGCCTCTCCCTCTTTTATAAGCCCCCTTTAGGTACTGGAAGGGAGAGGGATATTTGCTACAGGTTTCCAAGTGTAAAAACTTAAAACAGCTTCATATCTCACTGACCAGAAGACCAAGCAGCATTCCCTTAAATTCCTGGGGAAGAAAAGACCTAACTTCGTGAAACAGCGAAAACAAGTTACATTTGTATGGAAGGATTCCAAATGCATTGGGAATCTTCAGCAGTTTATTTCCTAGAGGGTTAGTTGCATACTTTGGTGTGTGCTCGGATTTCATTGTTGAAGTGAGAGCAGCCTGGTCTACTGGATGATGTCCCTGCCCATGGCAGAGGGTGGAATGAGCTGAGCTTTAAGGTCCTTTCCAAGCTGAACCATTCTGGGATTCTGTGATGTGATGATATGACTGCCATGAGCTTAAATGGACTCTAATGCTGGAAACCTGTTACAGTTAAATCTTCTGGAAGCGAGAAATAACAGTTAAGAATTACTCTCTTGTTTATTGTTAGGATGAACTAGACTGGTCCCAGTGGTGCTGGACAGGCTGTGCAGAGTTGGCTGGTCATGCAATCCTGGAGGATTCAGCAGCATTTGTTGCCCATGTTGCTGCATTTAAAGGAAATGTTTTGTTGTCCAGAATTTGTATGTAACAGTTAGTGTGTGATCCTGGCTGAATGGCTGCCCTTGGACTTACTTGAGGGAAGATTTTTCTGATGAACTGAGTTTTCCTTTTGTGAACAGGATGCACGTGATTCCTAGAAAATTCCTAGCAGTACTGGCTGCTGATCATGGCTGTGAGAACTACAGACCTGAGTGGAAAATTAGGAATTTACACTGTTAATGACTAAGTGTGAGATTACCTGTTTCATTGTGTCAGAACAGCAGCAGGGTAACAGTGCGGGGTGGGCTAAAAATCAGGGAAGGGAAGAAAGGAGAGGCTGGCAGAAGTTCACACCACAGCCGTGGCAGTGGGATGAACTTCTCAAAGAAATCAGACACCGTTAGAGCCACAGAACGGTTTGGGTTGATGGGACCCTAAAGATCATCTAGTTCCAACCGCCAGCCTTGGGAGTACCATATTTCCTTTTCCTGAAGGGCCAGTCTTGGCTCTGCTCCCTTCAAAGGCCATTTTCAGGGCTTCTCACCTACCAGCATCTTGGATGGGGCATGAAGCCACTTCGGGAGGTCACTTTTTAAAATGCTGCTAATTTGCTGTTTAAGTCCCCGCGTGTTTCCATAGAACAAACGTGTGGTTGTGTCCCAGGGGTGCTGGTTTGTGCTCTGAGCTGGCAGGGTTGGCAGTGTCTGCAGCAGCCGGGTTTTGCGGGCTCAGGTGAGCCGGGTGTGTTGTGTGTGGCGCTCCCTTGGCTGGAGTTGGGATGTTGTTTTTTATCCACCTTGACTCCAATCAATGCAGCGCTGGCGGCCTTTCATTAGCTGCTGCTGCTGCCACGGAGCTGCTGGGATGCAGAGCCACTGGCAGGCTGTAACTCGTGCGGGTGCCCCGGAGCTCAGCGGCGTAAGCTGATTGACTCAGTTAAGGCCCCAGCCTCTAACAGCAAATGCAATCAATAAATCTTTGTTGGTAAATAATTGCTATCGAACAGAGTTTTAATATAAATTTATGAGTGGTGTTTTATCACAGCTTGAGGCTACAGCAAGCCACTGAGTGATGGATTTCAGATCACACTTACATTCATTACATTAACTTTGTAAGTTATTTAAAGCTTGTACACTTAACATTGCTTTTGGCTTGCAATGACCTCCTGGGAGTAGACGTAGCACACACATTACTAATAAAGAACTGGTGGAACGTCCAGGCAGCTCCTCTGTTTGCTTTGTGTTCCTCCAGCAAAACCTGGGGAGGGAGGTCCGTGCACTCCAGTTGGAGCCTTTTTCCTCTGGCTCCTTAAAAATACAAGCTGGAGGAGTCTGGTAGGAGAAACCATTCCTCTGTTAGACACAGAATTGCAATTTTGGAGGGAAGGTGATAAAAAAAAAAGAAGTGTGAAATTGTTCCCAGTTTGTGTGGAAATTGGAGGTGTTAAATTCTCAGTGTTGAGTCTGGAGGCTTTGGGTCAGCTACACCCAACTGCAGATGGAAGACTAAGAAATGAAAGGTTTCGTGCAAATTAGGAAAAATGATGTTATCAGTTAATAACAACTTGAGGCAGAGATTATTTAGACCAAAAAAAATGGGTGTTTGGAAGTAGGAGATTGCCTGGGTCTCTTACTGCTCAGCCTGGGGACCAAAGGTGGGTTTTGCAGTGTGTTCTGTGTACGTGGGGACCTGTTTGGTGGGGACTGGGGACATGCCCAAGCTGCCTCTTAGTTGCCTCGGAGGTACCAGAGGTCAGTGGGAACCCGTGGAACTCATTTCCCAGGCACGGTATCTGATGTGACTGAGACATAAAGTGACTGAAGCAAAGGGCTTTTTCTTTAAAGGAACATTTCTTGTCATATCAGGGCCATTTATTTTTTTAAAATTTGGTTAATGTTAAAGTGCATTTATAGCTGATATAAACTCCGATTCTAAGACCATTTCTCCAGATCATTCTATAAAATTATCACAAATTGGTGGCCCTGGGGGGAAAAATGTGGTTTATATGGGCTACTTCACTTTATAACACCAAGTTCTTGTATTCAGAGCAGTTTCCTCTCCAGGTACTTTAAGATACCTTTAATTCTCACATAATGTGAAAATGAATCTGTTTGCTGAAGGAATGCCTGAAGGAAATGGATTGGGAAGCCTGGTTTGTTAGTTAGGCACACAAATAGGTACATCATTCATATCTAATGCTGATCTGGTTTTTTTTTACATCAAGCACAGAATTCCACTTTAAAAGTATGGTGAAACCTCATTTTGAATAAATTTCTTCCTTTAGATCCATAGCTAGAATGTCAGAATTCACACCTAGATAGTAGCAAAGCTTCTGTGTACTAAAAATCATGACCGTGTTAGGTGTTTACTATTTATTGAGTTTATAATTGGCATGAATTGATAATTATGGAAGTAATTACATGTTGTCTGTATGGCAAAGGGACAGTTAAAAGGTGTGAAGTATATAAACTTTAATTTGTTCGAAACTTAAAAAAAAAAAAAGGCAGAGGGGGGAAAAAAAAGATCACCATTGTGTTCCTTAGTGCTTTTTTCGCCATTAAAAGGTCTGAAGAACAAACCAGTGCAGGGAAAGTGTAATTTTTGATCCCCACGGCACAGCACTAACTAGAATTGGGTCCCCCTGAACGGCAGCGAACGTGCTGCAGGTGAGGTATGAAAGATGGGAAAGGTGAAGCCACGGATCACCTCCTATAGACAAACAGGCGAGTCAAAGGCAGAAACAAGCTTTCATTTTTTAATAGAAGAAAACAACGTCTGTCCCCACTGGCACACGGTAATTGGGCTGTGCCGCGGGAGCTTCTGTGAGGAGGCGGTGCAGGAGCCCCATTCTCCTTGAAAAAGTTCCAGTTCTGGCAAGGAGCAGCACAGGAGAATGAAGACGTGATCCCCAGGCAGCCGGAGAGTTGGGAGTTTGTGTCGCCGTGTAATTCAGGGACCCAGCAGGAGCTTCTCTCCACGGTCCCATGCACGGGTTGGGTTGAGTTGGGAAGGGTTCCTCTCTGAAGTTGTGTCCCGGGTGCCTGGCCAGGAGCAGGCAGGTGTGAGTGGGGCTTTTCCACTGGGGTCATCCCTGATGTTGCACGGGGAGAGTTGTTAGGTTGTATGGAGAGTGGTGAGGGACTTCAGCTGGAAGCTGTAACATCTGGAATTCTGCTTGCTCTGGAGGACTTCTACTTGGGCAGAGCTGACCTGTGTCCCCTCCTGGCTTTGGGATCGCTCTGCAGAGACTTCATAAAGCTGCAGGTTTAATGGGAAAACAAACAGCAGAACTTGCTGTCAAGGCTTTAGCCTGCTTTGACAAGAACAGCTCCGTGGCAGTTGGAAGCACCGTGCTTTGTAGGGCATCTTTCTGTGTTCTGACTTCCCTTTATTTTAATTGCCTTGGCAAGTGGGAAGGGAAAAACTCATTTTATGGGGATTAGAGAACTGAAGTTTGTGTTGGTTTAGATTCCTGGTTATGATTCAATGAAGCGTCTGCTTGTATCCCTGGCACTGGTGTATCTGTGTCCATAGTGTCTCCACGTGGACATTCCAGTAAGACTTTCCATGATCAAAGTACTGTATGATTCCTTAGGAATGCCTTCTGGCTTGGTGTTGGACAGCTTTTCCTGCTGAATGGCAAACAGTGAAGCTGCTGATGGAGGCAACGTGCCTCATGGGAGGGGCAGGGGAGGACGAGTAACTGCAGGGGAAAGTGTATCTGAAAATGCTGGCAATGGTCTCTCTTGCTGTGTCTTAAGTAGGTGTGCATTGGCCAGAGAATATTTAACCTTTCCTCTCTCCCCCTCCCAGGGAATGCTGCTGAAGAGGAGTGGCAAGTCTCTGAACAAGGAGTGGAAGAAGAAGTACGTGACGTTGTGTGACAACGGGGTGCTGACCTACCACCCGAGCTTACACGTGAGTACACCGTGTCTGGGTGTTCAGCAGCACCAGGCCCTCAGCAAACACTGTCAGACAGGGATTTCTTCAGCCCCCTTTGGTGGGGGAACTTCTTTCTCTCTCTTCATTCCCCTCCCTCTCAAAGAACCATAATCTGAAATAAAACTCCCTGGTGCAAGTCTGAGAACAGTCCAGTTCCTCTGAATCCCCTGGGAATGAGTCTCCCTTGTGTCCCAAGAGGCAGCTGAAACAGTCTAAGTCTTTATTTTCTTCTGGTTCTTTTATGGACTTATTGTTGATCCCAGGATTAAAAAACAGAAGCCTTTTATAAGAAAAAGTTTCCTAGATGTAGTAAAGAGTGAGGAGAGGTCTTAGTCAGTGTGCAGTGGTTGTGGTTTATTCAGGAGTAGTTCTGAGCAGCCTTTTGGAAATGACTTAGCTATTAAGACATGTTCTACACAGCTTTTCCATGTTGAGACATCTGTTGTTGTCCCAAGGATGCTGTCTGTCCCTCTCAGTGCCTCTGACACAATCCCTGGATATGGATTTGGGGATGGAAGGAGCACAGGGATCTGACTCAGGACCTCAAAACCCATGGTGTGACCCTCACTAAGGTCTTTATATCTGGTCTTATGTTTTATCACCATCCCATATATGAACATTATAGGGTGGCCACTCATAACATTTTTAGGGCCAGTTGTTCCTAAACCTTTTGGTGACGTTTTGAGCTCCCAGGCAATTTTCCATTAAGGAGTGAAAATCAAGGTTTGGATCTGATGCCTTTTTTATAAGCTCTGAGGGTTACAGACCTGCACCTGGGACTGGCAGGAAACTTTTGCTTCGGATGGGTGGTTCTGAGGAGCATGGAACCATGGAATCATTTAGGTTGGAAAAGACCTCCGAGATCATCAAGTCCAACCATTAACCCAGCACTACCGAAGCACCACTAAACCATGTCCCCAGGTGTCACATCTACGTGTCTGGCCACACGGATGCTGTGCTTGCACCACTTTGCTGTTCCCTGACTGTGGAATATTAGCACTTTCTCTGGCTTGACACAGGATTTCGTAGTCTGGGGTCCTGCCAGAACAATGCTTTGCTCTAGTTTCTGAGGTTAAGTCCATGTCTCTTAAAAACTGTTTAGTAAGTTAGATGACAAGCAGCTTCCAGGCAGGTTCCCTCAGAACCCCTTTTCCCTCAGCCCCTGTGTTCTGGAGCAAGGTTTTCACTGCTCCTTTGTGGGATGTAGTTCAAGTCTTTTCTGTCTGATTTGGCCCCTCTTAGTGCCTCTAAATGTGCGTAATTCTGCTGTGAAGTAGTGCTGGAATACCCAAATCGTGTATTGGTGTTGCTCCCAGAAGGGAGGCACAGGTGCTGTGTGCCTTTGGGGCAGTCCCCACGGAGCTCCACCGGAGTTTCCCTGGGATTGTGTTGGCCAGCTCTGTCATCAGGAGGAGGCAAGGTACCATTGTCTGGCTCCTTCCTGGTGTTGTGGAAGGGCTCTATTGTTCCTGGCAGTGCCATGCACGTGTTAATTTTTCATTGCTCTTGCAGACAATAGAGAACTTCTTCTCCACAGGCTTCCCTGGAGCTGCAGCATCTCCCCCAGAGTGAGAATCCATTGAGGTTACACGTAATTACTTTGAGATTAGAGGTAAATCCATCGGAGGTTAGGAAGAATCCATTTAAAGGAGAAGTAATTACTGGGCTGTAATTGTTTCCCTCCATCCCCCAGCATGCCCCCCCAGCCCAAGAAGGTGGTACAGGGCTCTGTCTCCGTGCGTGGGTCGGAGGGGTTTCTAACGTAACCACAGATATTTCACTCAGTCACACCCCAGTACCGTTTGTGCTAAACTTTGTAGGCAGGAATGTCACCATTTCCTCTTGGGCATTGCCAGGTGAATGTTTTTTCCTCCAAACAGGACTCTGATAATGTGTTTCTGGTTTGGGTTTGCAAGTTTTTTGTTTTTCGGTAATTCTTTTGTTCCTTTTTTGCACAGCAGAGCCAGAGAAACTGCTGAATTTTTAATAGTGTACTTACATTGCTGTTTGGGATAATTTCTTACGTTGTTTTGAGAAATCAGGGCCTTATTCCTACCAACTATCCCATTAAATAGCAGTGAAGAAAAGAGCTTTTGCTAACCATCTGAAGTCAGTTTCCTAAGCTTGTATAAAGCCTGGCTCTATTCTGACCACTTAGATTTGGGTCGTTTCAAATGTGCAGGCTATTTTAGTTAATCAAAATCTTGCCATTTTAATTCCAGAGTGAATTTTTAATTGGAGCGAAAGGTGGGCCTCTAGTGGTGGCAGGAGAAGTAAATTTAGAAGGTAATTTAGTCTGTCCAGCCTGTGGTTTGAGTCAGAACATAACACCTGCGTTGGGAGGACCAGTTTCAATATTTAATGGCTGAGAGCAAGCACTGTATTAAATATTGCTGGAGGTTTGGCCACAGGTGGATCAGTTGTCTCTGTCAGATCGGTCAGTGGCGGCTCAGGCACGAAGGAGAGTTCTTAGCCTAGAAAATATGTATTGCAGGAATCAGGAGTGACATCCTCCTTGAAAGGACTGGCTACAGAATGAAAGGTTTTGGGGTGGGGAGTGAAAAATCAAATGAGGCCCTTTCTTGCAGAGGAGGTGTCCCTGGGAGGGTCAGGCCTGTTTGGCGGGGCAGCGCGTTGAAACGAGGGCGGCATTGTGCCAGCTAAATGAGGGACTGCTGATGCCACCAGGCTGATGTTTGACACAATAGCTCAATCCCTATCCTTTCTTTTCAAGGAAGTGGGGGGAGAGGAAAACGGGGAAAGAAAAATATATGTACATAAGCACCCTACTGTTTCCTGACTTGGTCATGTCAGGTTTTTTCAAGAGCCTCAAGCCTTCCCGTCCCTGGGGAGGCTGAGGAGCTCCGCCGACAGAAAATGGTGGGGATAATGAGAGAGAACTTTGACCCTCAGGCTTCAAAGTTCACCAGAGCTCCCTATTCATCTTGGGCTTCTGGAGCAGAGCCGTGGAGGGGATGACTAAAATTCTGGCCGGCAAATTCCACGTCAGCCTCCCCAAAGGGTCCCGGGGGAATTTGTTGCGGCATCTCTTGGCTTTTAATGGCAGAATGCCATGAGCGAGGGCTCCCGGAATGTATTCACCAGGATACCTGCTGGGCAGCACTGCTGCTTTATCTCAGCTTCTCCTGATGAATAGCTGAGCGTGTTTTACCACTGTCTGTCTGCCAGAGGTTGCCATCGTGCCACAGGGCAGCAGGTGACAAAGCTTTGGCTGTGGATGTCCATTTTCTGCTCTTGTATCTTCATCATCATTATCTCTGCCCCTCATTTATGAAAAGAAGAAAGGGGGGAAAAAAAGGCTGAAACCAGCCTTTTTGGTAAGAGCAGTTTACCCCTTTATATATTGTCTGGTTTAGATTTGATTTCAAATAAAAGCACAGTGCTTTTCAAATAAAAGCTTCCTCCTTGTGGGGGAAGAACAGCTTCTTAAATGAGTGAGAAGGAAAGTGTCATGCCCATCTAGAACACACCTGGTACATAAACCCCTTGTGTCTACACAGCAGGGTTGGTGTTTGCTTGCTGCAGTCTTTAACCTTCCTCCTCACTGGTCTGGGGATTGTAACTGTGATCCAGGGGGAAAAATATATCTTTATTTCCTTGAAAGGTGTGCAGATTCACCTGGTCTGCCCAAATCATCCAACAGGAGCCACAGTTCCAAACCCTTCCTTAAATGCAGTGCTGGCTGGGTGAGCAGCATGAGCCCCCTTGGAGGGAGCACCAGCAGTGCTGTTCTATCCTCAAATATACTGGATGCTTTGTTTTAAAAAGGCAGCATTTCAGCCCAGTAAGGAGTCAGATCCAAGAGCAGGTTAAACTTTGTGCAGGAGCTTCAACAATAAATTATATGGACGCATCTTCTCAGAAAACCCTAAAAAACCCCAGACCCTGTAAAATTCTTCTAAGACTTCAGGTGTCATTTGAGCTTTCTTTGCTTGGCCATTTCCTCCAGGAGAAGTGGTCTCGGTGAGAAATGGGAGGCTGTTGAGAATGTCCTCTGTGCGGGTATCTGAAGTGTTGTGGCTCCATTCACTTTCCTCAGGTCCCACAGTACTCAGTGTTTTTCTCAGGGCTGCACCTGACATCTTGGGTTGTTATCAGCTCTTACATGATTTTCCCGAATTATTTGGGAACAGAAAGCCTGCTTGCTAATCAAGTGTTCCAGCTCTCCTCATGTTTCAGAGAGCAGTGTGGTGGCCACTCGGCACTGGGAGCTGGGTCCAGCCTTCCCAGTCAGGAATATCTCCCCCCCCAGCCATCGTTTCAGCTCAGCCTTGTTTCCAGGGCTGCATTACCTCAGGCAGTTCAGTAGCTCCCAAGTGTGTTGTTTGTGTTGCTTGAACAGAAATATTCGTGCCCTTCCATATTTCTAGAATACCATCCTGTGTGCCTGTTTTTTCCCCCCTGGTTTTGCTTCCCAGGAATGTAAAGCTGGATATTAGCTGGCTCTGGAAGCCCTTCTAACTGACCTTTCCTATCAACAGCTAATCCTCAGATTAGGCTTTGGTAAACATAGACTTGGAATGACAAAAAGAGGTGTCCAAGGCCAGGTTGGACACCTGCTTGGAGCAACCTGCTCTAGGGGAAGGGGGTGGAATGAGATGAGCTTTGAGGTCCCTTCCAACCCAAACCGTTCTGTAATTCTGTGTTATTTTTCACATAAGATGTAGCTCTGCCTCCTGAAAGAGTAGTGAGCAAAGCAAATGCTGCAGAGCTACAGTTTGAGTATTGATGAGGATAAATCAGGAGCATGTGTAAGTTTTTATTGTAGTTACTGTTGCGTCCATTAACATGCCTAAAACATTGGTTAGGATAGAAAAAATGAGTGATAGGCACAGTTACAAAATCTGTGTATAGTAATTGCTGATTACCATGATGGTGATGAGATGGTGATCTTAGTACTCACCACAACTTGCATTCTTCCTGGAAGCCTTTTCCTCAAAGCCATATTCAGAGCA